GGACACTGGCTTTGGCAAATACCATTTCATGTTAATGACATTTAAACAATGTAATGCTAGTCTTGTCTAAATAAGATAAAGAGAAAGAGTGAGCAAGCAGAGAGAACTGTAACTTAACTGTATTTTATATTATGTAATGTAGTTCTCCCTAATTCTGTAGCTTTGCAGTAATGTCTGTGGAACTACACTGTAGTCTCTTTAAATTGTATGAATCAAGAATTAACCTGTGTGGAGCTGTAACGATTAGATCTACAATTTTTTTTCACATTTGCTCATATTTATCTGATGCTTTTGTCCAAAGTGACTTACAGTTGTTATACATGCAGCTAGGAGTTATATGTCTTGCTCAGGGACACATTAGAAACACTGTGACATCACCACCATTAGTCAATTGGTCAAGTAGTTAAGCAAAATACAATTAGGCAACAACTACTTTTATAATCGATTAATCATTTAAGTCATTTTTCACCCATAAATTCCAAACTCTCCGCAGGTTCCAGCTTCTCAAATGTGATAACTTTCTACGTGTCTTTGTCTTGCATTACAGTTAACTGAATATTTGGAGTATTGGTCAGACAAAACATGATGTTTAATGACTAGGACATTGTGATATTTATTTTTGTTATTTTCTTATGTTTTAGAGATCAAACAATGTAACAATGAGTAATCAAAAAAATAACGTCAGATTAATTTATAATGAAAATAAGCGTTTGTTGCAGTTATAAACCTGCGAAAGCAGTCTCATGAGTCAAGGGGCAATATACTATAAATAAAGGGCTGTTATTTTTTAATTTTTTTATTAACTTCAGAAATAGTAACAATACGTCACTGATGCAGGTTACAGTGGTTTGTCATGGACACAAATCAAATTTCACCAGTACAAACCAGAGACAACAGAAACAGTGTTAATACCACAAGAATAATAAAATAATAAAAACACTGCTTTGTCGTTCGCTTTTGATTGGCTGGAGAATATTTTGTGTTGCAATATCTGACCATCCCACATACACTGTCCTCCATCTTAAACCGCATTTGAAAGGAACAGATTGGCTAACTGCAGGCCAGAAAGTGAGGGCTGACAGCCAGAAACCTCAGCATTTGTTGAAGGAATTGTTAGGTCACTGATAACAACCCTATCAGAGATATTGGTTGTTTTGTGCTTTAAGGTTGAAGAAAATCTTACTCAGTTCACTGCTGTAAAAATCTGGCTTGGCCAATGTCACTCACCCCCTTTTGATGGCATCAAGGAAGTCCTGATTCTCTGGTATGGAGTAGCTGCGAAACTCCTCATCGTTTACAGTGAAGCCATCCTTCCATAGCCTCACCACCATCTCCACCTGGGATCAAGGTCACAAGGAAGAGCCCTGATCAGCCTGAGACACAATGATCCATGTACAGTATGTGCTGAACTCCGAAGCTGAGGAGTTTATTTGGGTGGGTTAGTGAGGCCATATAACTGGAATGTCACCAGGATTTTTAAAATGTCAGCCTAAATGCATTTCCATGCCGCTAACAAGTTTCTCATTTTGTATTTATTAGGCTACATCCATATTGTCTATATATGCTTAATATATTACATTATTACACTATGTGGGTATTTTACTTAATTATTCATTCATTCTTATATTGTCAGTCTACAAATGTATTTATGCAAAGTAAATTACATAAAACATGTAAAGTCATCCTGTGTTTGCAGAAGCCCTGAAGATTTAGTGGTATGAGTTTGTTGCTGACCTTTGATGTCTCTGAGGCATTGTAACAGATCTTCTCCACTTCATCAAGGAGGTCTTCCACCGAGAAACTACGCCTCATTGGAGCCTCCTCTTCATTTTCTTGACTGACAAAACCGTTGAGAAATAGAAGTGTGCAAATGAGTCCTCATGTGTCTTACTGAATTCAGCCTGCAGTCCCAAGCTTTATTGTACAGAAACATTGCAATACTGAGTTGTCACCCCCCAAAATTATGTCAAGCATGTAGATTTGCAAACCAGAAAATGCACCCAAGAAAAAAAAATGCTATGCTTTAAATTTTACTTTCCAATCAAACTACTTTATCATTCTGGACGCTTCACACATTATACTGACCTACATAAAATCCAGTGATTGAGTTAAATGCTCCATATTTGTAAGGCGCCTTTCTAGTCTTTGCAACCACTCAAAGCGCTTTTACACTACACTGCATTCACCATTCACACACATTCATACACTGAGCCTAAGTGCTCAAACAGAAACTAACATTCACGCACATTCATAGTTGTATTGTTTTTGTTTCTTTCAGGAAGAACGTTGAGTCACAAGTTATGTGAATTCTTACATTCATTTGTTTTATTTAAATATTTAAAGGGAACAAAAATTTAAGGGGAAAATAATTCCCAACCAATTTGTTGTGGCTTACCAATTTTCATTTTTCTCACCCCCCACACTGTCAATCTCTTTCAGGACGTTCTGTTTTCCATCTAAGAAAATGACAAACAAGTGGACAAAGCAAACGTCATAGGGCCTATCACCATTAAAGGCAGGTTTGGTATATTTTGAGGTAACCTTTACTAGCTCAGCGGTTTATTATGTAAATGTATTCACTGGCATGCCCGTGTACATTGTCAGTATATTAACTGCTAAAAAATACCCCACAACTTAAATTTAGACAGCTCGATAACCTCATCGATAAAAAAGCAAGTAGCTGTAGCCTGTTGTGGGCGTCACAAAGCCATAACGTTAGACGCGCATAGAGCCAACGACATAGGACCTGTGTATAATAACGCGGATTACACACGTATACACACACAGAAAAGATTCTCATTTGCATGCGCGTATTAAGGTTAAGGTCATATACTGATTTACCAGTCCGTGTTTTGTTGGTTAATCCCGGGCTACACATCTGCAGCTATAAATTGCAGGCAGGGTCTCTTCTGCTGAGCAATGCGTGACGCAACAGTGCCGTAAGTCGACTCCTCCTGTCGTAACGACACTGTACTGCTCAGGTCAGCACTGAAACTGATGAGTACAGTTTCTATCTATCTATCTATCTATCTATCTATCTATCTATCTATCTATCTATGCCACTCCATTCACATATATATGCACATGTAATGACAAACGTCAAACAATACAAGCACTATAAAATGTACACAAACAGGAAGAAAGCAACTTAGAACAACAGCAAATAAAAGCAACATTAGTGACAAGCATATTATTATTCCTTTACATCCCATGGATCTTTAGACTTATATGATGTGTTCACCCTTAGCTTTTCACAAAGACACGTTTTCAGTTGGTGAGAGGTTCCAGTGAGGGATGCTGCAGACTATCTATACATTTCCATGCCACATATAGGCCATTATAGGAGCAGATAATCAGGTGTACAAATATACTGTGCACTATGAGTCAATTACATAATACTTGCATGAATTTATAATTAAATGAATATGTCCCATTCAGGACCTATAATTTGCAATGTAACTGAAAACCTATGTATAGAGTCATGTTAAGGACACAGTCTCTTCACTCACTCTGATATACACAACTGAATAGTGAAAAGCCCAATAAATCCAAATAATAAATCCCAATAATCCTTTATTTGACCCTACATATGAGGCGATTTCACATACTTAAAGATGTTTAGTTATAGATGGATTCATTTTCTGTGTTTCTTAACAGATTGGAATTCGAAACATTGGCTGAAATTGTTTTAAACAATCTCTATACAGCATCAGCAAACCATAGAATTTGGTGTTGTCTGGATCCAGTTTTATTAAATTTGAGAATGATAGATGGTTTCAATCTTTCATTTTTGGTGGCAGGTACGCCCATATTTTCATACCTTTGGGTACCTTCAGCACCCCCATGAGCACACATAAAATGTATAATATTCAAGAAAATGAAATTACTTTTTATTATGCTTCCCCCCCCAAAAAAAACATAGCTTGAAGGAAAAGCATGAAACAGATGGCTAGCACAGTGCATCTTCAGTCAAGCCAGAAATAGAGTAGCCAGCACACACACACACACACACACACACACACACACACACAGGTTTGGGTTTCAGCAGTGGTACCCAAACTGGGGTCAAGGGATCCCACAGGGGTTCTGGAAAGGATCACAAGAAGTTCTTGGCTACAGTTTTGTTTAATGTCACATTTACTTCATAGGTATTTGAAACCTCCTATGATGTATCTCTACTGCAGGTATTCATATATCTATCTATTTATCTATATATAAAATGGCATGGAGTGCAATAGGAGGAACAATACTGAAAACAGCAAGAGTGGAATGATTATCAATATTTCAATTTCAACTACACTACTACTACATGCATTAAGGCTATAGTAAAAAATGAAAAGGTGTGATAGTCAATATTCAGTCCGTATCTGAGTTAGCCTGCAAAATAAATTTTTGAGGTAATAAGCATAATGATTTTTATTATTATTTCCATAATTCTGGAGCAAACAACTCTACAAATCTACACAGTTTTGAGCATACACTTTCTGATGTTAACCTTTAACCACTTTGCAGAAAGGAGAGTGATGGTAATATGTAATGGTCAATTTGGAAAAGACTTTGGAATAAATAAATTTGAGACTGCCTGCACCCTTCCATCTGCCAGCTTCAAAGCAGTGTCTCAGCCCCCTTAACTTTCATAGTTTCCTCTCCTCTAAAGCATGAATATAAAAACTTAAAAGTCACCAGGGTATTACTCTGCATTAATAATCCGTTGGGCTGCCTGTTGTGCTTCAGTATTTGCCTACTTAGTGGAGTGACTTTAATCAACGTAATGTATCCCCACTCACCGTAAATATCCCTACTGTATAATAACAATTGCATGTTATAACTCATAACAACAAAACACAGTTAGTTCTATTGATTATGATGGTCTTTGTGCTATTTATATAGTATCCATATTATTACTAAGCCACTAGTTCTTTGTCGTAGTAGTCCAGTCAGCAAAAATTAATGCACCTGCCCAACAGACCCACATCCACTTGAGAGAGAGAGAGAGAGAGAGAGAGAGAGAGAGAGAGAAAAATGGCGCCTCGATGCTGCGCTCACTGAGGCAGTGTTTGGAGCCGGCCAGGGAGATTCAGTAAGGGTAGACAAAAGGAAATAAACATGGTGAACACAAGGAAAAGCTCACGGCCGGGGAGCGGTCCCTTCATCTCCTCGAGGACTAGGTCGTCGTCGAGAAACGAGCGAAACTCTGAGGAACATGTAAGCCGGTTTCTTTTCTTTGCCGGCGAGTTAGCTGGCTCTGCTAGTTGGCTAGGTAACCTAGCTGTAGCCGTGGCCTCAAGGTGCTCCACATAATGTATTATTCACAGTAAAGTACAAGCAGTATTGTACTTGACACCCGCTCAGTCACGCAGATACACAATAAAATATTTGAATGCAGCGATTCATACGCGTGTTGTTCGCACTGAATGTTTTGTCCAGCTGTCAAATGACAAGCTAGCGATGTTAACTCCTGGCTAGCCCCAAGTTGAGTTCCCTTTGTGTTTAGCAGATTTTACCCGGCTGACTTGTTTCACTATTATCTCCACCAAATGGACCTTCCAAATAAAGACAACTGGGATTTTGACATGAGGCTATTAGCATTACTTCATGCCATCGTCCTGGAACCATTAGCGTCTTTATTTTCTCAAATATGAAGAGATAAAGCTTTAGTTAAGCTAGCGCTTGTACGTTCTAGCTAGCTCGACAGCTAGCTTAGAGTGGGGGAAGGGAGTCCCAGGTTCAAAACAGTTGGCTGGCTCAAGTCCCATATTTAGCAAGTCTGAACTTGGTGAACTTTCTGGTGTAAATCCCCCTAAGACCCCTATATAGCTTTTTTTCCACAACAAGTGTTTTAAACGCGATGGTATAACGTTAGAACGAATGACATATTTCTCGTTATTCGAAATTACACTAAATGAATAGCTTTAGTGTGTAACTCTGATCGTCTGACCTACACGCTGCTGACAGTCTTTGTCTCAGAATGTAAACATTGAGATTATGCAAGGTAAGCGGTGCTGTGTCCCCGTCTCCATTATTTACGATTGTTATAGCACTTAACACAGGCGCACAATAAAATCCACCGATCTGATAATTTATTGACCGTCATTAGAACATTCTTGAGTTTTAATGGACGGTTTGGCAAAGGTTTGTACCTTGTGGAATTGTGGTTCAAGAAATTCGAGGCTTTAACGTGACAAACCTCACACTTTAACAATGTTATTTCCAAGAATTCTGAATTTTTTACACCAAACTCCCAAACTATTTGCTCAGTTTGCCATGTGTAGACCATGCTGTCAAAAACCTGTTGCTAAAACTAACCATTGTTTTGTGACAATGTTTGGAAAATTAGTTAAATGGGGAATGATTTCAAGGTGCACCCATCTGGCCACAATTGTCCATTTGTTCACTGTTAGTAACGTTACATCTTGCACTTTTCAGTCTGTCTGCATCTGTCTGCATCTATCTGCATCTATCTATCTATCCATCCAGCCAGTCAGACAAACCCCTCTGCAGTTATTGCAGACAGTTGCCTATGACAACCGTGAGATGCACTATCAGCAGGGAAGTTGATCTGTGAAGGGCATGAGCATCAAGGGCATATGTCTGGTTGCTGCGCTGTTGTGTTTCAGAGAATATGTTGAGGAGCTGGGTACAAGGGGTCTTCTCTCACCAAACACACTATCTGGTTTTGCCATTCTGAGTTCTTGCTTTCTTATGTCCTTGAAATCTTTTGTGTTGTCATGGATTTAATGAGTGGGTTGTTCATGCTTGCTTGTAATTTGCTTAATATTGTGGCTTTACTCAAAGAGTAATGATGTATTTATTTGTTAAAGGATTTTTTTTCTCTGTTGCTTACTTCTTCTGATAATTTGTCATTCTTGCATTCCCTCCTCCTCCTTAAATTGGTGTGGTGTTTGTTCAACAGAAGGAGGCTAGTAGTGATGTGAGCAGTCCCAGCAGTCCACGTTTGGCTCCCCCTTCCAAGCGCACCCGGCGGCAGACTGCCTCCGAGCCCAGCTCCAGTGATACGTCCCCGTCCCCTCAGACTAAGGGGCAGAGGGTCAGCTGGGACATTCCCACCTACCGCACCAGGTCAGCTGCTGGCCTTTGATTTACTCATCATGACTATAATGCATAATGTTACACAATGATAGACTAGTATGCTGCTACATTGTCTTTGGCAGAAATATAATGTTTTCCTATGACAATGTTGTGTTAAAATCATTTAGTTTATATTTCTGTACAAAGTTTAAATTAGTTAGTCTAGATGGTTATTTGCTATCACTGGCTGTTGAGTCTGTTTTTTAGTGAACAGTAAAAAGATACACCTAAACATGAGCTTTTAGACATTTTTTATGTGTGATTAATTGTAGTCTTCTGTGCAGATGTCTCTACATATATTTTTAATTTGTTGTTTTTTTTCTCCCTAGGTTGTCCTCTCGCATAATGCAAAATGGCCACGGTAATGCAGTTATTTTCAATTTGTCCCTTTTGTTTTTAAAGCTATACATTAAACAATTGCATTTTGGAGGCATGCGATTTAAAGAATCGGACCCTCATTAAATGTTTGTTGATGCTGCAGCCCATATGAGTCACCGGAATGAGGAGAGCGGAGGGGGAGATCACTCTCACATGAATGGCCATGTGGAGCTGAAGAGGAGCTGCCGGGTGAAGAAGAGCCAATTTGAACACCTCAATCAGAGCCTGCTGTTTGACCAGCTGGTCAACAGGTAGCTAGCGGTCACACTACTGACCCCTTTCTTTCAATATTGCTTCTAACAGAAGAGAAACAGGAAGTGAAAATTACTATTATGAATTAGTTGGAGCAAAAGTGTGAGATGCCTGTATTTAAAAAAAAAAAAAACTAATAATTTGGTTGCCGTGTTGTCCAGGTATGATTTCCTACAGTGTATGTGTGTAGCACAATCTGTATTCAAGTATTTGCATATTGGTACTTAAGTTTTATACCCAGTCCCTCCAATATTTGAACAGCACAGCAGTCAAATCAGGGCTACAAGTCCTTCCCTTACATTCACTTAATATGGATGTAAACACAGTGAAAATAGAGATGAAAGTCAGCACCTCACCACCATAGCCATTCTTTCTTTTCAGATCCCATGCTTTGAAGTACAGATGCAACATAAGAAAACATTGCCCTTCTGCAAAATGGTGCCTTGAGTTCTGTTTTCTGTTGTGTGTGTGTGTGTGTGTGTGTGTGTGTGTGTGTGTGTGCGCGCGCACGCAGCACTGCTGAGGCTGTCCTTCAGGAGATGGACAACATAAGCAGCATCAGGCAGAACCGTGAGGTGGAGCGACTTCGCATGTGGACCGGAGACACTGAGGAGGTGAGTGTGGCCCTGCTGTAACACACAAACCAGAGGTAGAAAAGTACGGTACCACTGCCTGATGATGGAATGTGAATATAAGTGATTGTGTAAAGGGCCCGTCTTTCCAGGAAAACATGGACATGTATTCCCGGGTGAAGCGCAGGAAGTCCATGCGCAGGAGCACTTTCAGCTTGCCTACACACCACAAAGTCATGAGCAAAACTGAGGAGGAGGAGGAAGAAGAGGAAGGGACGGAAGGTCAGTTTCCTGCTAATGTTCTACTTGTGAATCAGCAGAGAGAGAGAAAGAGCTCCCGAAAACTCAAGTTAATTAGTGTGTACTAGGATAATTAAAGATAAAATAAAGCTCAAATTTGGCAATATTCTTATCTGAAGTTTGAAAACCTCCCTTGTGACTTTCAGATTCTCACGGTGAGGAAGAGGAGGAGGATGCAGAGGATGATGACGAAGATGATGAAGGAGATGAAGCAGAAGAGGCTGGAGAGGAGAATGACAGACCGTACAACCTAAGGCAGCGAAAGACGGTGCAGAGATACGAGGCACCACCTATTGGTATCTGCTGATTGCCTTTTTTGAATCAAACCTTCGTCTGTATGTTTTGTTTAGCTGTGTTAGGGACATTGTCCATTTGTTTAATTATTTTCTCTCAGTTTAATTATGTTTGAAACTACTTTAAGAGGCTTGGTTCCTGACAACCAGTTGCTTTGTGTTTGCTTTTCTCAGAGCCTGTGAACAGAAAGCAGAGCAACCCCTCACTTTTTGACACCCACAGATCCCCAGCAAGACGAAGCCATATAAGGTTGGTAGCAATATGTGAAAAATCCCAATGTGTAACTCAAGCAGCTTTTTCACTACCATGATTAACTCCGAGCTGTGGCTATAAAAAAGTTTCTTCCATCGATCTCTGCTGATAAAGGAAATGTGACTGTTTAATACTCACACTCGATTATCACACTTCTCCAGAGTGAAAAAACATGCCATTCACAGCAGTGACACCACCTCGTCTTCTGATGAAGAGCGGTTTGAGCGTAGAAAAAGCAAGAGCATGACCCGGGCCAGGAACAGGTGACGGCTGCTGCCTTCATTCTTCTATCTTTTTATCTTCCTCTAGTCTATCTCTGTTTTACTTTTTTCTTTGATCCAAGCACCTTTCAGTGACATTTTTTTAAAAGAACTATAAAATTATTGAAATCTAGAACTCTTAACATTAGCACAAGGACTACAGCAATGGCCGTGTGTGTGTGTGTGTGTGTGTGTGTGTGTGTGTGTGTGTGTGTGTGTGTGTGTGTGTGTGTGTGTGTGTGTGTGTGTGTGTGTGTGTGTGTGTGTGTGTGTGTGTGTGAATGTGTTTGTAATCCTATTTTTTTTTTTTTTCACAGATGTCTGCCCATGAACTTGACCGCAGAAGACTTGGCGAGTGGGGTGCTGCGTGATAGGGTGAAAGTGGGTGCCAGCTTGGCTGATGTGGATCCTATGAACCTTGATAGCTCAGTGAGTGGAAATGCTAATAATTACCAAACAGCTGACTGTTTTAGTCTTAAAACTCAGAAGTGTTCAAGTTTTTATGAGCTGCAGCTAAAACGCAATTAAAGTAATTGAATTTTGATCTTTAATTATACACAACAATTTTGTTTTTAGACATACTGAAATGCTTCCTGCTTAAAATCTTTCAAACATCTTAGGTTTTCATAGGTGAATGTTAAAAATGTGTGTTTTCTCCCCAGGTGACTTTTGACAGTGTGGGTGGCCTCAGTAATCACATTCAGTCACTAAAGGAGATGGTAGTATTCCCACTGCTTTACCCTGAGATCTTTGAGAGGTTTAAGATTCAGCCTCCCAGGTGAGAAGAACTAACATGTAACAACTTATATCAAGAGGGTCACTTTTGTTTTGGAATTCTGATGGATTTTTCTGACTCTGCAAGTTTGATGGAAAAACAAACTTCATTCATATCCAATCACAGATATGCTGTCTACTTCAGTGACGTCTTTTTGTTTGTTTTGGTACATAGATACAAGATAATGGAGATATGTATATGTAAAGCGTTGCCATTATCAAATAAACACTGTCTCCATTTCCTCTCACTTCCTTTTTAGAGGGTGTTTGTTCTATGGCCCTCCAGGGACAGGAAAGACCCTGGTAGCACGGGCGCTTGCCAATGAGTGTAGCCATGGAGATAAGAAGGTTTCCTTCTTCATGAGGAAAGGAGCTGACTGCCTCAGCAAATGGGTCGGTGAATCGGAACGCCAGCTACGCCTGCTCTTTGATCAGGTGAGACATGTAGGCAGCACGCTGTTGAGGTCGATGGTCATTTTTGGATGATATCCTTGTAACCAAAGGTTCAGTCACTTGACCTGAACTGACTTCACAATGTAAATAGAAAAATGGTCATTTGATACTGGTAGAATATTTTCAGTTCCAGTATTTCCTGTGTGCTAGCTTTAGTAACTCAATAGTGTCAAATAGCTTTTCACTTTTTTGAGAAAGTGTAATTCTTGTATTTAAGTAAACTTAATCTAACCTTGTGTATGCTTTTGATCAGGCATACCTGATGAGGCCATCCATTATTTTCTTTGATGAGATTGATGGTTTGGCTCCTGTTCGCTCCAGCAGGCAGGACCAGATACACAGGTAAGGCTAATGTGGTTGTGACCCTCATATCAAATAAGATACCACTAATCTGTATATATGTGTTTGTTCTTGAAACGTGCAGATACCTCCAACACAGTCCAGTGTCAGTATGCACTTATGATCAGTTTGGCAGTGAACAACCTCAATAGTAGTTGTTTTGTGTTCGTAATCATCAAAGTGGAAATAACAGAACTGTTGAGCACCACATGGAATTGGCCTGTAACTCAATAAGAAAAGAAAGAGAAAGCTAAATACATGGGTTAGAGAATTTCTTATTCTCTAACCCATGGATTTAGCTTTTATTTTCCTTATTTTACCACACACACACACACACACACACACACACACACACACACACACACACACACACAATTAGTGGTTATAAAAAATAACACCTTAACTGTACCACATGTAAACTGTGGCTGCTTTTACTTTTGCGCGTTGACAAATCCGCATGTCCAGGTTGCTGCTGCTGTTACTTTACTTGCCTTTAGGTGGCGTGGGTTTTCGGGGACAGCAGGCTCGAAACTGCTGGCACTGCAGCTTTGATTTTGGACGAAATTGGCTGGATCTGGATTTGGCTGCTTCACATCAGTAACACTTAAGTCCATATTTCTTAGTTTATTTGGCATTGAGCAGCCAGTCACAGAAGTCAGAAATCATAAGTTTCCTTTGTGATTTAGACCATTTCAGTATGAAGTGTTCGTAAGGAAGTATGCTATTATGCAAACACAGCATGCAGTTGAAATGATTTCCATCTAGAAAGTAAAAAATTTGTAACGGTCTGGACCAAAGTTTTTTCAAAACATGAAATGGTGTGCATGCTTGAGTTTACAGATGCTCTTCTCCTCCTCTTTCTGCAATACTGAGTAAATAATGCATGGAGCTCTTATCAACACGGAAATACTGTTTATATTTTTACCCACACTGTTTTCGTAAAAATGTGTGTTTAATAGAGGTGTGTGTACTATTTGCAGAAATAAAGCCTTGTTTATTGTGTCAGTCCTGACTAGTGAGTCTTGTCAATATTGTCTCAATCTCAGACAGTATTTGTGATCTGTGTCTGCATTTATACATAGTCCTTCTACTATACTAGTACTGTTTTGTGTGTGTGTGGCCATACAGTATGTCTTTGCAATACTGTACACACAGTCACACAAATTAGAGTTTGTACTAAGTCAGGCAGTTTTTGTATTTGGTGTCACTTTGGGTGTAAGATTAGATACAGCTGAATACTAAATAGCATGTCTTACATTCTGTCCCTCCACCTCCTTCCCTCTGCCCAGTTCTATTGTGTCCACTCTGCTGGCCTTGATGGACGGCTTGGACAGTCGTGGGGAGATAGTGGTCATTGGTGCTACAAACAGACTTGACTCTATCGACCCGGCACTCAGGAGGCCTGGACGTTTTGACCGGGAGTTTTTGTTCAACCTGCCCGACAAGAAGGTGAGACGGAGTGCAACATCTATATTGTGTACAGTGGACACATGGTCATGGACATATCCAAAGTCTTGTTTTCACTGTATGTAGATTTTCAGTAGATGTATTTTTCATTGTAAGAGCATTTAGCTTTTCATTTGTTTACCTAAAAGATCCGTGGCAGTTTTACCTTCAATGTTGTTGCACCATAGAATCTGTATCATCCAGGCCAACAGTGCTTACCCACATGCACACCCAGCTGGAGACACGATATAATGCAGAAGTAATTAGTGTTTTACTCATAAAAGTCCTGCGACGAAATTAGTACATGCAGCCCTCTGGCTCGACTGTTTTTTCCTCACTGTTGGATGTTTTGATCCAACAACCAAGTGGCAAAGCAGATGCTCATTAGGTTTCTGGAAAATTAAAAATCAATTTTAGAACAGTGTATTGTTATGCAGATCTGATTACTTTAATTGCATTTGGGGAGGGGTGTGTGTGTGTGTGTGTGTGTGTGTGTGTAAAAAGTGACAAGAGTCGGTACAGTTCTGCGTAGGTGACTCCTCACCATCAAGCCTTTCTAATGGGTCGCCTTGCATCGTTTGTCCGCACAGTAGGATCATTGGTAATCAAAGCCTAATCTGCAAGGCATTGCTGGCTAAGCTCACCAGAAGTAGTGAGCTCTGACGGATTTAAAAACCTTGTTCTTGCGCAAATAGCGACCCTCTCTACACATTCAAGTTCAACTCCCTCCTGGTATTGCCCATGCTGGAAACCTGTTTGAAATCTGGCTCGGTTGTGTCTTTTGAATAGAAAGAGAGATGTGATGACAGATGATGAAAACTGTTACCCTCGATTCATGACAAAGACCACTTTGCTCTTGATGTCTGGCTGCTTATCAAAGCGGAGTCCTATGGAGACGATGCAGTGAATTGAAGGGCGTGTTGTGCTTAAGTGTTAGTGAGCCCTTCAGTTGAGCTCACGGACACAGTTGATTCTATTTCCATCTTTCTGATGCTGCGTAAAACATGGTTTTAATTATGATATTTATGGTGTAATTTCCCGGGTATTGTAGTGATGCTTTGTTTGTTTTTATCCCGTCTTATGCAACAGTTTAAATGAGACGTTAAATCAAAGTTCTTTTACTTTGTTTGTTTGTTGTGGCACTTTAACCTGTTACCTTGCCAGTGTTTTTTGAATCGTGGTTCCTATTAGTCTCCACAGGGCTTGTACTCCCTCATGTAATGACTGCTATTTATGTTTTTCTTTGTGTCTCTTTCCCTTTGTCCACCTCAAATCTTCTGTTCAGGCCAGAAAGCACATCTTGGAGATTCACACACAGGACTGGAATCCCAAATTAGCTGAGCCGTTTGTAGAGGAACTTGCAGAAAAATGTGTCGGTAAGAGTGACCCCTTGGATAAAACGTTATGCCATCTTTTAAAAGTTTCAGGTCAAATTTATCATTGGTGTGGACCTGTAAAGCAAAACACAATTTTTAAACAGTATCAACAAAGCATTTTGAAACATCCTTCTTGATTTAACCCAATGACATTCATGTTCTACGTGCCATTTGAAAACCTTGATAAAGCCTGTATTTTGGCAGACAAATGATCAACTAACCTTTGTGTATCTTGCTTGCTCCCAGGCTACTGCGGTGCAGACATTAAAGCACTTTGCACAGAGGCAGCCTTGGTGGCGTTGCGCCGCCGCTACCCCCAGATCTATGGCAGCAGCGTCAAACTGAAGCTGGATGTCACCTCCATCGTCCTGGGGCCCGGCGACTTCAGCAAGGCCATGAGGACAATCGTCCCAGCCTCCCAGAGGGCCCTGGCTCCCCCGGGCCGAGCCCTGTCCCCCACCCTCAGGCCCCTGCTGGCCAGCTCTTTCTACTTGGTGCTGAAAGCTCTGCTCCGAGTCTTCCCCCATGCTCAGTGTACTGACAGGGACAACACACACGGTAGGGATCTGGGACCCAGGCGCACATAGTTTCAGCTGTATCATCTGTTTTCACTTTCCTACCGCTAGTTGCTGTTTCTCCCACCTTGACGCTTGCTCTCTTCTACCTTGCCTGCTGTCTGACGTATTAGTGTGCTTTCCCTGTTGGCACTTTGTAGAATTTGATTATTTGTTTTTCTTTCCCCACCTTATTACCAAAGTGCTTTGTATCGCCTGCACACACTGAATACAGAGTCAGTGGTGAAACATTCACCTGACAATGCAGAGGTGATAGCACAGAGATTGGATAACCAGTCATCCTGCTTGCACTTAAATGACCCACCCCCCACTCCAGTCAATGAAAGAGTGTTTACAGCAGATTAGCCACACTGCAACAACTTGACTAGTGGGAGATTGCTTACAGGAGTTGTACTTCCTGCACCCAATAATGACATGAGTTTTCACGGTGCTGGATCTCTTTAAATGCCCATTACATGTCACCTAATAAACCTGCTCTCTTTTTTTATTTTCAGATTTTTGGTGAAATGACCGCATTAATGTCAGCGATAGGGCTGCTTTGAAGATTAAACTTTGTAGAAGCAAACTTTGGAGTAAATTTGCCACCTCTGTACTCAATAACTCGAGGACAAGTGAGTTGCAGTTGCTACGTACGTCTACTGCACGGCTGTATGAGCAGTGTTTCTCTCTGTGCTAGGCGGTGACAATCAACAGCTTGAAGAGGATTTCATCAGCGACGATGACAATGAGGAAGGATCTACTTCCATCTATGAAGTCCAGCCTGCTGCAACCCCAAAGAGTCAGCTCTCTTCTTCTGCAACACACAGACCTTTCCTCCATTTCTCCTTGTGAGTCCACAGAGTAAAAAGACAGTTTTCATGGGCAGCTGTTGATAAAGTTGCAACGTAAAGTAAATTTATTTAAAGTGCGTAGACCCCAGTGTCTAGTACACCACTAAAAACAAACATGTCAAAATACCTTTTTTGAGAGTGGAAATAAATACATCTTGGTTTTCTGTCCTGCCTAGCCTGAAGATTTAAGACATTTTTTTCCCCCAAACATGTCATCAAAAAGTTGAACTGTATTAATAGCAATGAGCAACAAATAGACTCCACAGGCAGCACTTGTAGAGAATGTGGAGACAAACAGGCTAGATCAGAGGAAAGGATGAAAAGGCAACAAAACGATTGAAACCAGAATTGCTATTGATGCTTCCATTCAAAAATGGAGAAGGGTGAAGGGACTGGATGCTTTTCATTTACTGGAACCATTATTGAACAAATTAAGCAGCTATCAAGTTTCTGGTTTCCAAGTCTTACAAAATATGCTTGGCAGGCTGAAACTTTTTATACTACAGTTGTGTCAGAATATAAAATAAAAACCTCAAGGCAAACATGTAGTTTTAAATATATATATAAAAAGACTTTACTGGATGGTAGTGATGCACCCAATGTTCAGCTGTATTTAATCGGCCGAAAAAAGCACTTTTTTTATTTGTTTGTTTGGCCTAATACGTCAAAAGACCGCATAAATGTTTCAGAAAAATTACGTGGACATGTTGGCAGTGTGGAAGCATTTTAAAGTGTCAGAGAAAGATGCAAAAATCGCCGTTTGCAGACATTATTCTGCCGAATTGTCTCCTAGCACATCCACTCCATCTGTGGCTGACTTCTCAGAAAAGGCAACAAACGGTCTGAACCGCTTTGAGTGTTTCTGTCACTCGTTTTCTGAGAAGGCGATAAAGCTAGCCGCACCTAGATTTGGAGTTCACACGTATTCCAGCCTTTATGGTAAATCCACTGAAATGGACCAGTGCAAACTGACAGGTTTGCGACTTTATCCTGTCATTGTCTCTCTTTACAAAGACAAGTGTTGCAGTATGAGAGTCCTACCTGAAGAGAGGCTGTGGAGTTGTGTGTTACGCGATACGAGAACCACATACAACTTTATTTATCACATTTGGTCGGACTTGAATGAATTTAGCGCAAGGTTACACGTGACAACGTCTAGTTTTCAAAATAAGTTGAATTAATTGGATTATATTCAAAGAAAGTATAAAACATATTACATATGTACATTAAAAGTAAATAGAAAAATTTCATTTCCTTTACCGGGCCCTCTTGTGCCTCGGACCCACCCACCATAGTCTCTCCAAATCCTGTGGTAAACACTGAGTAAAAAGCACATTTTGACTGTTAAATTTATGCAATGGAAAAGAAAAATGGAAAAAATGTTAATGTAGTTATTTGGTATTCTGCAAATTTTTTCATTATATTTAGTTTCCGCCAAGAACTTTCATTTCGGTGCATCCCTACTGGATGGTAAAACTGCATTAAAACAACACTTAATGCCTGTCTGCTCTGTCCCTTTTATGAGAGTGCTGTCAAAGCCGTGGGTTAACTGGCTTGATAACCACATGTGTTATCAAACACCTGTGCCACAATGAAAGCTCACAGAAATCTCCAGGAGTTCTGAAACATGTCCTATAGGTCGAGTTACACATAACATATAGGAGAGCAGAGGGCAGATACTCATCACATCTGGCTTGAGAAGAGAAGTATGTGTATTGTTTACAGATGCAGACTTTACAAACAGCACTTTTGCTGCTGTAAGCAGTGCCCATGCTGCAGTCATATTTCCCGTTGGTTTGTCCATATGACATGCACATAAGGGAAGGCTTCTACATAATATGGGAGAAGTAAGTGATTTGCCTGAACTGTAACAGGCTTCTGCAACTCGTTCTTCAACCACTTGTGTGTGGCTCAATCTTTTTTTTTGTTCTGTCAAACTACATCATTTGAGTGCAGGGTTGCTTTTCTCCAGTTGCTAAGAGAGTTCATTGATGTTGAAAAGAGGCAAAGTAAGTCTTCATTGTGTTGGACTGCTCTCTTGCCTGGTCAGACAGGTAATATATTCAGTTTTGTCCTCGAAATGTTTTAAAAGTGCACAAAGATATCTTGATTTTTGTTGGTCAACATTTACTGAGGTCGTTTTACAGTGAAGTCTAACACTGCTATTCACATTAAAAAATGTAAAGTGAAGCACCTGCAGGGTTGTTGAGTTAGCGTCAACAGTAACTTGTGCATCAACATTCATTTACTGAAGCAAATGAACAACTGAACAGAAAACAATTGGGGTGTCTGTCTTAAATGTCAGTGATCATAAGGTGATAGCTACTGTGCTAACTATGGACCCCCTTCTGCCTCTAGCTCTGCCATCCAACAGCCCACAGCATACCGGCCTCGTCTTCTGCTGGCTGGGGCCTTTGGCTCAGGACAGAGCTCCCACTTGGCCCCTGCCTTGCTGCACCACCTGGAAAAGCTGCCAATCCACCGCCTGGATTTACCCACTCTCTACTCCGTCAGCGCTAAGACGCCAGAGGAGTCTTGTGCTCAGGTAACACACACGCACACAGGCACACACACAGGCTTTTAGGTTTAGTGATTTGTACCATAACTTTTTCCCATAAGCAACAATGTTTGAATGATCTATGTGGTTGTAGGTCTTTCGGGAGGCACGCCGGAGCTTGCCCAGTGTTGTGTTCATGCCGCATATCTCAGAGTGGTGGGAGACAGTGAGTGACACTGTGAAGAGCACCTTCCTCACCTTGCTGCAGGATGTACCCTCTTTCAGCCCTGTCCTTATCCTTGCCACTGCTGAGACTCACTACTCACAGCTGTCAGAAGAGGTAGGAATACAGTATACACACATCTGAGCTGACATTTTGTGATATACCTGGAGGCCTGCCCCGTGTCTTTTGTGGTAACAAATTGCTGTTGATACGGTTTCTTCCATTATGTGAGAGAAGAGTGTTAACCTGATGTTTTTTTACAAGATATTTGATGCTAAAGCATAATTGAAAGGGTTTCTTTCTTTATCTCATACTCAGGTGCGCTAGTGCAGATGCAAACAGGGTGTCACAGTCAAGGTCATCTGCTCCCACAAAGTTTTTACCTATTTTGGCTCCATCTCCCTTTTCTTGTCATTTATTCCACTGGCCACTTTTCTCCCTGGGTATCCCCAATCTTGCTCCTTCATCCTTCCACTTGGATTTATTATTCTCTTTCTGAAAGCCAAAGCAGAGTCAGACCACCCGTTGTGGGGGGCGCTCTAAGGGAGGGATTGGAATAGTGTGAGGGGATATAGAGAAAATATGGGGGGGGGGTGAAGGGCCAAATAAAGAGGAGGGTCCTTTCTAGTCAGGCAACAGAAGGGCTTTAATTACGTCCGGGGGTTGGCAGCCCCACGTCTTCACCCCAGGACACGCACCATATCAATATGCCTGTGCAGACGGTGCAGGGTTTTTTTTCTGCTTCTGTCTCTGTTTATGTGTGTGGCTGCTGTTTTGGCAAGACCTCATCCCTGGCCATGCTCCAAGGTGATTCTTTCTCTGTTGTTGACTCATTAGGACTCAGGCACCTGGGCTGTTGTACTCATTGAGGCCCAAGCTCTTATTTAACCTCTGTAGTTCTAGTAGCCTTTTTTTCTTTGTTTAATTTTTTATTCTCATTTGGTCACTTTTATTCTTTTTTTGTTTCACGCCGTTCTTTATTTCCTTTATGTTGTGTGATTGATAGTTCTCCACAATTCTTACATTTTTGCTGTCCTTCATCATGTTTGTTGGTTCACATGCTGTGTTTAAGGGGAACTAATCCCCTGTGCAGACCATTCAGAGTCAACTGGTTGATTGCTTTTCATTACGTAATAGGTGACTGGCAGTTACTTTTTTCCTCACTTTACCTTTTCTTTGGTCATTCATAGCCATGTAGCCTGGACATTTGGAAAGCACGTGCTGGGACAAATGGAGTGCTTTAGTCAATATGGAGCTAACATGAGGGTATCAGGAGTGTCTTAGTATATGCTGGTTTTCTCTTTTGTGTTCTTCCTCATTTCAGTGTCTTGCACTGCTAGTTTGTAGTGGCCTCACATCATTGCACTTGTTAATCAAAAAAACATTTTTTACATTGTAGAAAGACCCCATATTAGTTCACATTTAAAGCTATATTTTAAAGCAAGTCATTATGCCGGAGTCTGTCTTATTCCCACACTGGCAAAAATAAATGATTGGTATAAATAGTTGACAGAAAGATAAACTTTATTGCCCAACTCTTATGCTAGACTACTGCCAAGTTGCTGCTTTATTGACTCGAGGATATGTGCCATGCCTTTCATTGTTGACAATCTCACTGCTGGAAATTCAATCAGCCCTGATTCTATTTGGTGGACTGGCTACTCTGTAAATGAAATGAAGTTTGATGTCTTTGGAATAGTGTTGTCACGATACTGGAATTTCTAGGTTTGATACAATACCTTGAAAAATATCAATATTTGATACCATTTTTGATACCACGGGGGGAAATTTGACCTTGATTAAATTACTGAATTATCTTCTTAACTGATCTTAGTAACTAAAGTTAATAGTATTGTGTGCTAAGCAGAACAGTATCAGTTAATTTACTTCTGACCTTAGTCAAAGTATTTTCCCATCAATTAAAACTCTGCTGTCTGAGATTCCTCAGGTCTGATAGCTCGGAGGTGGATTAGCTTAGTCTTGAGACTTTATACATGTCTATTAGTTAAACAACAGGACAACTGTCTTATTAACAAAAGTTTACGGGGACATCTTGTTTAATACTTTAGTGATGTTGAAAGACGTCTGCAACCTCTAGGTTTTTTACAGAGGACGGTGTGTGGGTCCTGCAGGTGCTTTGCTTGTTACCACCTCTCTGTACCGTCACTTTCATATGGGCTTGCTCGTATCCTTTGGCAGCATCCAATCACAAGTGACGAGTACTAGCTAATCACAGCACAGTAAGGCGGGACTTGTCGAAACTGGCAGGAAAAAATACGCAAATGAGACGAGAAGAAAGCGCTGTGAGTGACAGAAGGCGGGCCTTTGTGGGCACTGCAGCCTGTGTGTATCAACTCGCTGTTGGAGAGAAGAGAAGTGCATTTTCAGAATCGATACCGTGAAAATGAACTTTAAACTGTTTGAAATATTCAGAATCGATGTGTATCAAAAAAATCTATATTTTTGACAGCACTACTTTGGAATGTATCAAACCTGTAGCGATGTTTAGGACCCACTGGACGCTTCAGACAAGCATTGTTAGTTGGTTTTCATAACTATACTGAATTATGAATGACCCTAACCAGTACCAAATAAAAAAACAAAAACAGCAACACACAACAACTGCTGCTAGTGATTTGCCATGTGTGGAAGTCTGTAAGGGGAACAAATCTAGTAGTTGGTCCCATTGAAACTGTGCCCCAGGTTTTCCAGAAAAAGAATATGCTCTTTTCTTAGGCTGTTTACATGTTAATCAGATCTGTCTTGTCTAATAATTGGACATATTTGCTATAATTGTTTTTTCAAATTACACGTCTTATCTCTTTTCTCAAATGTGGCCCAGTAGCTTGTTTCAGCAAGGTTTGAGGAGTTTATTGTTTTAAATGTTTATGCATGGATATGCTGCAGTTAATGGTGCTTTAAGTGATTTGGCTATTTCTGAGAGGGTTGTTTCACTATCTGGCACAGAGAACACAGTGACAGCTGCCGTCTCAGCTACAAACCTCAGCAGGGAAGAAGCAGCATCCCTCCCCAGCCAAAACGGACATGACAGGCTTGGGTCCAACTACATAGCCTCCCTCCCTTAACAGCCATTCACTTGGCTTAGATTGACTTCCTTCTCAGTGGAAGGACAATGGAAATTGCTAGAACATGTTATTGTAGGGTGAAGTAACTGCAGTTAGAGAGAGATATTGTCCCATCAGTCTGAACTTCAGTGCTGTAACACTTTTTCTATGTGTGGTTTGAGGCATCTCCAAGTGCATTTGAATGGCATTAACAGCATGTTGAAAGAATGCTTTGCGACAGTTTTACCATAAGGACCTGGGTTATTGTAAGTAATCCGTAATCTGTTTTCAATGCTGTGATAAAGCAGATACTGTACCAGACAAAATCTGTGTCTTCCAGAAAAAATATCCAGATCTTTTACTTTTGCTATTGCGATCTTTTACTATTTAGCACATTTTTCTAAGAATCAGGCAATTTTTTTTAGAGCTGTATTTTACTGAGAGTGCAGTACACTTTTGCTTGCACTATGAAGTGTTGCAGCACAATGCAGATTACATGTTTCTGATATCATATCAGAACATCTATAGCTTAAAGACATACCATTTATTTCACACAATAATACATTTTGTTACTATGTGCAACACTAGCTGACAGGCTGGAAAAATCTGTTTGCTGTTGAAGTAACGCACTCCTACTGAGGCACCCACATTGTTAATATAATTAGTGAATATAAGAGGTCATATTTTGCTTTTTCCCTTTCCTTTATTGTGTAATATATCTTTTTTTTGTGCATGTAATAGGTTTGCAAAGTAAAAAAGCCCAAAGTCCACCCCAAAGGGAGTTACCATCTCCCACAGAAAAACACTGCTCTGTACAGCTTGATTGTAGTCCAGCCTTCACTTCCGTTCACAAGTTGTCACTTTGTAACACGCCTCATAAGCGTAGCAGCTAGTCGGGCAGGCCCTCAAAAATGCCGCTGGGTAAACACACTGAGCTGCAGTACACACGGTGACAAGATGTCCTACTGCAGCCTCCCCTCATCCCCGCTCTACCTACCAAATATTAGACAGTCAATTGCTGGTGCTAATCATGACGACGACTTCACATTATGATGTCTCTAAACCATCGCCGATGGATGACGGCATCGTCTATTGGCCCAACCCTTGTACCTAGTTCAATTAATGGTGTAAAATTGTATTGACTCCAATTATAAATGATTGGGAAAATTATTTGAACCATGTTGATGGTGTCATCTTGAGTTCCATTGGCAATATACCAATGCGCTTTGACAGATGATCTGACAAGCACTTGGTTTGAGTACACTGAACCCTTAAATGACTTCCAAGTGCACAGTAGCTTTTTTTGTGTGTCTCCAAAAGCAAGTCTTAGAGCATTGCACTTTAAAATCACTAGGCATTTTTCTTGAGTGGATGTAAAACGTGCTGTTAGTGATAGCAATAATCATCAGAAAAATCCGTTTTCACTGTCCATTCGTCCATTCATCCTGACACTTCCGGGTTCAGGTCACAGTGGCAGCAGACTAAGCGAAGTAGTCCATACGTCCTTCCCCCTTAGCCACATCCTCCAGCTCTTTTTTTATTTATTTATTTTTCCCAGGCCAGATGGGACATAATCCCTCCCGCGTGCCGTCAACCTGGAGGCATCCAAATCAGATGCCCGAACCTGATCTGATTCCTTACAATGCGAGGGAGCAGCGGTTCTGCTCTGAGCTCATTTTGGTCACTTTGGTCCGTCTCCATTATTTCAGTCATTACCTAAAGCTCATGACCACAGCTGAGGGCTGGACTGTAGATCGATTTGTAAGCCGAAAGCTTGGCCTTCAGGCTCAGCTCCCCTTTTAACACAACGGCCCAGTATAACTTCTGCATTACTGCTGACACTGCACCAGTCCCCCTGTCAATCTCACACTCCATCTTACCCTCAACCTACTTCTCACCATCTGGACTTGAGTGTGTGCATTATTGTTCAAATGTCATTATCAACATTTCCTGTGCTTTGTTTATTGCAGGACATTTTACAGCATTTATTTTGTGTGACCCTTTCTAGTTTTGGAGCATTAAGCCACCATCTTTGGACCACTGTGATTCAGGAAGGTGTCTCAGCTATAGCTGTTTTTATGTGAATTACATGAAGAGTTATTCACTCAAGCTGTGTTTTACTGCCATCTCATTTTACACCTGCAGTAAGGACTTTTTTTCTTCAGAAAATTGAGATGGCGATCTAGTAACATGACAGTCTAACAGAATGTTTTAGTTTGCTTTTAAGTCAGTTTGTGCAGTTAAGAATTGATCATGCTAGCAGAGCAGGTGTCCAATTTTGTTTTATAGTTGCTATCCTGCCAGACATCCCCAATTTTCTTTGTAAATTCATCTCTCTCCTCTATCCGCCCTCCCTTTTTTTTCCCCCCAACCATTCATCTATCCACACATTTCTGCTATCCCCCCTGTGTCAACAGCCCTGTAGCTTTTATCATGATGAAAAATATCATTACCTGCTGTGTGCTACATACACACATACGCTGTCTCTGGCTCGCCTACTGTCTCTCGTTTTTTCTCTGTTCCTCCTTTCCTTTCCCTCTTCTGAGGGGAGAGAGTGCAAAATCCAGAGAGACAGGATAAGAAAGGGAACAGAAGGCAATGCAGAGAGAAACAGAACAAACAAGTCATGGGGAAGGGAGAGGATCGATGTGAAAGACAGATGGGGGAAGATATAAAGTAGAAAGTAGGTGCTTAGTCAGCAACAGGGCTTCCCATCGGGAGCAGCCTTGAGCTCCATTACGGAAGTGAACTGGGATCTTAGAAGACCCCTGTAGCCCCAGTATAGATGCACACTATATATTAAGGTAGCTGGAAAAGGCTCTCATATTTGTCTGCAAATACAATATAATAATTTATCCAAAAAAGTAAAATAATATGTCGCCTGGCCAACATTGGTTAAAAATACCATACCACCTAGGATTATCGGTGTTAGGACTAAAGTGAGGATATTTTTTTGTGGCTGGAGAGTCAGTGAAAATAGTCCCAGCGATATAATAGTTGCAGGATAATCCATTGCGATCATTTGGCTGGAATACTCATGGTATCCCTCCCAGCTATTGTTTGGACCATGATGGTAAATTCACAAAACTAGTAATCCACAATGTCAATTATCCACTTATTATAATTGAGAATATAAGGATGTGTCAGCCCTTTACAAACACTACTGATACGTAAAACAAATGTAATGAAATTGACAGTTGGCGTTAAATCAGGTAGTAGGAGATTGGCCAAATTTTGTTAGAGAATCGGTTTGGTGCAGTGGGTGTATAAAATGACATTGGATTAAAATGTAATATTCTCAAAAGCCCAATAATTACAACGGGAACTAAAATTAAGAAATGAAAGAAGCAGATTTACTGTGACAGAACATGAGATATTAACCTTCCACACAGCCAACATAGTGTTATCATAGTATGTGAATTTTCGGCTATTCCAGTTGATAGCATAAATCTAGCTAGCTGTCACAACCTTTGTACTTGCTGTTATATGCTTTACCTGTCTGTTTTTATGACAAGAAGAATTAAATCTTAAGGCATAGCAATAAATGGTGGTGGTCACTTATCCAATCCTTTGATTAATTTTAATACAGGTAAGAAGTATTTTCCAGAGAACCTATGGGGAGGTAGTGACCCTGTGCCCTCCAGGAGAAGAGGACAGGAGGAACTTCTTCTCTGATCTGATGCTGGTCCAAGCAGCCAGAGCTCCGCCGCGCCTCAGGACTACAGGTACCTATTGTATTCATTTAGGCATGCACATTCATGATGAGACATCATGACTCATCTCTGCTGTCTAGAGGGCAGCATTGTCTGCTTGTGCTTCTTTCATTCCTAGCCCCGTTCTCAACCTTTGTGGATCCAGTAAAAGGTAGAGAAGCAGACGTTATTTGTCCGACAGCTTTATGGAGACCAAAATGGACCCCACAAGTTTAAAAGGCTTTTTCAGGAATAAGGTTAGGGCTAGGCATGTAGTTGTGACGGTAAAGGTTATGATAAGGTGCATTATGTGAATGATGGGTAGAGAATGCTTTTTGGACTGGTTTTAGGGTTCAGGTTAGAGCCCTGCATTTCAGCCCGAACCCAACGGGCCCCGACTTATTTATGCCCTTAGGGCCGGGCTTCGGGCCAATTTTCATGTCATAGTTCACATGCGGACCGGGCCTCTGGCCTTTTTTGGGTTATGCTTTTTATATTTTTAGACATTAATTAAAAGAAAATAGGAGAAGTTGACATCGACGATAGAAAAACAAACATAGAAAGACATTTCATAACCTGTTTTCTGTTAATCTTATAATTACACTGATATATGACTGACATGACAGTCGCACACACGCACACAGAAGGTTTCTCGGCGAGATGTGCTGCTCTGGTGGAAACAGCACGAGACCCTGCTACCGCAACTGTCAAGACTGGCTCGCTCTGTGTTTAGTGTCCCCGCCAGCAGCGAACATGTCTTCAGCGCAGTGGGAAGAGTGATAGAAGAGAGGAGGACGGGGTTAAAACCTTCCACTGTGGATGCTGTTCTTTTTCTCCACGATGCTCTGACTGTTCTAACTTTTCGTTTGATTGGACTTTATTTCCGTTTAACTGTTGGAAACTACTGGAAAAAGAATGGCCATGTTCTTTGGTGCATTATAAGGTAAGAGAACCTGCAAGTTTAATTTATTTTATTTAATTTGTTTAGATTGTAGGCTATTGCTCATTTCGTTCTTCGAGCGCTGTTTCGAGCAGCCTGCCTGCTTCACCGTAGTATTTCAAAAATGTTGTTTTACTCACTGTGGTTTAATGAATAAACATTTATTAAACTAATGGTCTGTGTGATATGCTTGAAGTGTGTGTGTGTGTGTGTGTGTGTGTGTGTGTGTATATAATATAAAAAAATAAATAATAATTATGGATTTTATTGTAGCTAAGTAAAGTATTAGCGTTGATTTGAGAGGCTAAATTGATCAAACATGTTTTACTCGCTGTCGGCTCGGCTGAAAAAAAGGCTCCAAACATTTGTCTTTCATTAAGAAATGAAAAGAAACATAACTAACAAAACTGACATATTTTAATGGCTGCAAATAGGGCAGGCTGTTGCTATGTAATGAACAAAACAAAAAAACAAAAACAGGCTCGGGCTAATAATTTTGATGAGCTGTCGGACACGGGTCGGGCTAGGGCCTGAGCGGGTCGGGCCAGGGCCGGGCTCGGGCCTAGATTTGAGCCCCGTGCAGGGCTCTAGTTCAGGTTACAACATGGTTAAGGTAAGGGGCTAGTGAATGCAATATGTCAATGAGAAATCCCCACAGGCATAAGTGTGTGTGTGCGTGTGCCTAAATCACATTCACACAGTGGAGTTTAATGTTGGACATATACTGAATAGGTTTAATTTCACTTGATTTAGTAGTAGAAAAGTACAGATGTAAGATATTGAGGGTCAAATGTAAGATTGTCCCAGTGTGAAGTCTCTTTTTTTCCTGGACCTCTATATCCCTCACCTATATCAAATTGTTGGCCAATTTTAATCCACATCCAGTGACGCCCCCATCCACCACTCCAGCTGCCATTGCCCCAGGCTTTCGAATGGAAATGGTGCCCAGTGTTCATCCGCAGTTTCCTCATTGATGCAAGGCAGGGGTCCAGCCGCTTTACTTGCCCTGTGCTCCTCAGGGGTCTGCAGTCTGGCTTCCAGCAGATAGGCCTGCCGAAAGGCAGGTAGTTGAATTGCTATGAGATGGCCCGGCTGCAGTTCGCCACAGTTAGAATCAGGGTTTAGATGGCTGCTAGTGACTGAAGCGGCCCAAGGTACTGTGGAACAGTCCGAACGATGCCAGCAGATGCCTTAGGCGAGGACTGGTGCATTGGGAGAGGAGGGCGAATATATGCTTCCCTTGCCTTATCACTCTATCATTGGTGAGAGGCTTTTCCTTAGTGTATTTCAAACCTGTGTTTGGGAAGGAGTGTAGCTAGATTATTTTCTTCACCTGCAAGAATCTTAAAACATGTTTCTTTTTTTTTTTTTCACCTGGGTTAAGTATTTTTTGGTCTGTCTGCAATGATGTTCCGAGGAAATGGTCAAGGATCAGGTTTGAGATGAGATGGTTTTTCACTTCTAACCAACGTGCTAGTTGTGTGTTTTATATATTATATGCGAAGTTGGTGTAGTGATTTTGCCCTTAGCGGAGCCCTTTGTGTTTTTCTTTCCTATGGGCAAACACGCAGATTCTTTATTTTGTTTCTGGATCTCTCTTGGTGTTAGATCTTTAGGTCTTGTCTATAGATGGAAGCTGTGAAAACTTTATTTTGTGAGCATACTCCTCTGTTTATGCTTCAACTTTTTCTCTCCTAACAGAGAGGTGTGAAGAGGTACTGCCGGTGGAAGAGGCTCCAGGCCCCAGAGCCCTGTCAGCAGAGGAGCAGCGCCGCTTGGCTGAACAGGAGGAGAACACGCTACGGGAGCTCAGGCTTTTTCTCAGGGATGTGACCAAGCGTCTGGCCACTGACAAACGTTTTAGCATCTTCAGCAAGCCAGTTGACATCGAGGAGGTAAAGAGGGAATGGACTCATGTTGGGACGCACACCCTGGCATCTCACTCACTGTTTGACAAAGCCTGTTTTAGCCCTTCTATTAAAATTAACTTTGTGTGTCAGGTGTCCGACTACCTGGAGGTTATTCGGCAGCCTATGGACCTGTCCACTGTCATGACCAAGATTGACACCCACCAGTACCTGAGAGTAAAGGACTTCCTGGTGGACATCGATCTTATCTGCGCTAATGCTTTAGAATATAATCCTGACAAGGATCCCGGAGGTAAGGAGGAAAATTACAGACATGCTCACGATTACACACATGCTCATACATTTTAGGGAACGTGTGTGTGTTATTTTAAGCTGTTTTCTCCCATATATATATATATATATATATATATATATATATATATATATATAGCAGTTAAATAAAACAGTCAAACGTTAGATGACACATGGTGTAATGTTATGTTACTATCACAGCAGTGATGCATAAATTACTTTAAACATAAATCAATTTGAAATGACTACTACAGAAACACGCTCCTCATGCTGATAATTTTAATATACATGCTTGTGTGGAGACAAAGAGTAAACAGGATCAGCAGTGTTGACTTGATGCCATCTTGACAAAGTGCTCTGGGATGCTTTCGCTTTACGTGTTCGTGCACAGCAGTTTTGCTCCAGTGAAGCTATTTCACAGAGCTCACAGAGCACCACATTGTTGGGTCTCTGTCTAAAATACTCCCAAACTTTGGCTGGTGGAAGGCGAGGTAGCTGCAGCTTGTTCTCCAGGGGAATCCCTGTTAATACCGGATGCAGTCATGCGCCGACACACGTTATGCAAATCAACACATTTTTTGAAATCAATACCGTTAACTACGTTGATGATTTGCCCCAGCCGTACTTCCAGGCAGTCAAATTATAGTTAAGATGGGTTTCTTCAACTTGGACCACTGCACCAGTGAAAGGTCTGACAATGGCTCTGAGGATTTCATCCAGCAGTCAGGGTACCATTGGCTAGCACGTGGAGGACTGTGCGACACTCCAAGGATATGCCTCCCTAGAGCATCACTGACCCACCGCCAAACCGGTCATGCTGGATGATGTTGCACGCAGCATCAGTGTGGTTGCAAAATGTTCACCATAGTGTCTCCAGACCTTTTCACATCTGTCACAGGTGCTCAGTGTGAACTGGCTTTCATCTGTGAAGAGAACAGGGCGCCAATGGTGGACCTGCCAATTCTGGTTTTCTCTGGTGAATGCCAGTCAAGCTGCATAGTGCTGGGCTGTGAGCACAGATCCCACTAGAGGATGTCTGTCCCTTCATGCCACCTTCATGGAGTCTGTTTCTGACAGTCTGGTCAGAAACATGCACACCAGCAACCAGCTGGAGCTCATTTTGTAGGGCTCTGGCAGTACTCCTCCTGTTCCCCTTTCACAAAGGAGCAGATCTGGTCCTGCCTCTTGGCTGATGCCCTTCTATGTCCCTGTCCAGCTCTCCTTGTGAAACGGCCCATCTCCTGGTATCTCATCCAGGATCCTGAGACTGTTGGGAGACACAGCAAACCTTGTGACAGCACGTATGGATGTGCCATTCTGGAGGAGCTGGACTACCTATTGGCAGATTGATATCCCTCACGTTTAATTGACTTAATGTTATACAGAGATGATTAAGTCTTCTATTACTTTTTGGGAAGTGTACATACATTAAAAAATTACATGGGAAAAGTTGAAAAGAGCTTGTTTCACAGAAGATAAAGGTACTTTTCTACCAGAGTCAAATTCTCAACAGCCATACCATGATGTAAATTAAAAGCTGCATACAGTAGGCCATTCAATTCATGTGACCATTTTAATTCTCGCCTTGTGTGTTTAGATGCTCCGTTTCCCTCGCAAAGATATAGCTCCCTCATTCTAATGGGAAGCAATTCTCTGCCAGCCCAAATGAATAAATCATATCTCTGTCTTTGCAGGCGAGGGCCTGGGTCATTTGTTGGAATGCAGGGTCTACAAATGATACACTAAAGGGGAAAAATGCAATTAGGCAGTTTAATAAAGAAGACTAACGAAGCCTCTTGCCTGCTCACCCAGTGCTCGGCCCAGGGAATATGGCCCAGACCCTGCACAATTATGCTGCTTGGGAAGTTCTACACCAGCTCACAAAGTGCTGGGAAAAAACCTCATTATCCCTCAGTGGTCCGTTTCTCCGTGTCCTTCACGCTATCTTTATCGTATTGTCCTCCATGCACTGGCTTCCTTGTCTTTCACCTCCTCACCTTGCTAAATAATTACTTTATGTTAAAAAGGCTGATATCTCGGCGCTCCACAATGTGACTGTCACAAATACTTCTTTGTTGCTTGAAGGAAATAGTGATAACAGCCTTTTGACTGAAGAAACCCGTGAGCAGCAGCGTTGTATGTCAGCAGATTCTCGTCTGTTCAGGATGGGAAAGGTTAGGCAGTGCCCATAAGGGTGCTGATGAGCTCTCTGCATCCCAGCTGGCCTTTGACACCTCTTCCACTGACAGGCATTTTTGCCCTTATAATGCACTTGTAGGTAGCGTGCGCGCACACACACACACAGACACACACAGACACACACAGACACACACAGACACACACAGACACACACAGACACACACAGACAGACAGACACACACACACACACACACACACACACACACACACACACACACACACAAATTGCCTCCATCGCAATTACGCAGCCATCCTCCAATTAGACAAAGGAAGCTGGCAGATTGTGACCTCTCTGCCACTCACTGCCTGAATTGTTCTTCCTCTGCTTGCCGTAATGAGGGACTGCCTGTTTATGGTGACTGTGCTTTTAGCCTGCCTCTTCAGCTCAGCCTTTATTTTCCCTCGATAGATGCAGGAATAGGGAAAAAGAAAGGGTTTAATGATGCTGTGGTACATCTAAGGGAAAAGACGCATTAGAGTTATAAAGGTCTAAGGAGAGAGAGAAAGAGATATTTCAGATTGCATTCTTGTGTGTATGTGCGCCTGTGTGTACATCCAGCTTTGTCTTAGGTGGTGTAAGTGTTTATATCAAGACCCATGCATGTCTGGAGTTCTGTCCGCTAACATTCCTCACCAGAAGCCCAGCTCTATCCTTTTTGTTCTGTGAGAAAATGCCACAATCCCTTTTCTCACAGATACAGTGCAATGGGGCGGGCCAGCTATCGATTCGACCCAGCATTGCGTTACATCCATGATAGGGTGTAGAGAACATGCAACATCAAACTACAGTCCTGCGCACGCCTTGATGGCAGGATCAAAATTAACTGATATCTGAATAAAAAACTTTGATAATGACGATGTCAGATTATACTAGTTGATGTCCTGCGTCCACACAGAAAAACCACCGTTTTGTGTCTTGTGACAGTGGTGTTTTGTTTCACTGTCTCTTTTCTCAGACAAGGTGATCAGGCACCGAGCGTGCAGTTTGAAGGACACAGCCCATGCTATATTTGCTGCCGAGCTGGACCCGGAGTTTGACCGCATGTGTGAAGAGATCAAGGAGGCGCGAAGGAAGAGGGGTGAGAAAATCCCTCTACACTGTTTTACAATTAAGGGGTGACGCTAATAAAATTTGAACATTTCTCTTTAAAAATTTGCATGCACAAACGAATCCTTAATTAGCACTTAGCTTCTTATGAAAAGCACAGTTTTGCAAGATCATAAACTTTAATAACTCAATTTACTTGATAAATACTCATATGTTCTGTGCTGCCCTCTTTATTTGGGGATGGTTGTCTTCACGATATTATTGATAAATCTGACTAATATAGCAGACTAATAACACTGAACTTAAAAGCATAATTTGTTTATCTAAATCTATAAACATTTTGGAAGGAATACTCACTAACTTCAACATTTAGCCCTAGCCAGCCCATTTTGGCTGTGTAGTTCCCAGCATGCCCTCTCACCCTCTCTTTTTTTTGTACAAAGTCTTTGATAGATTATTTTAGAGAATATAAACCTGTTTTTCGTGGGGGTCTGTAGGTTAGCCCAGTAGTGCTTGATGGAGCAGTCAGTTTTTAATGTAGAGTATGTGGCGCAGAAAGGAGCAATGCCCGAGGCTCCAGTGTTCCAGACAGTACCTTATGTGCTAGCTGTCTGCCTGGCGCTCTGCATCTGTAGACTCACCAAACAGCCCCGAGCGTTGATGAGTGGATTTAAGGGAAAAATCTAAATGAGGTTTATGCACAAGAAACACGTATGCGATGTAGTTAAATGGTACACTGAAGCTTTTAAGTATTGACTTTTATGCAAGTTGTCAAATATTGAGCATGAAGGCATATAATCATATGCAAATATTCCTGTTGCTATACTTGCCCACATGGGAACAGGCTAATTAACACACTTCCTTACATTGAACAAAGTGCCCATGTAATAGTGCTCTCACTTACCCGTGGAAAACAGTGTTTAAATATACTAAATGAAAATATCCAATAATTTATGTATCTTATCATGGCCGAGCTAGGCCATCTGTGCACTTGCCAAGACAAAACGTGGCTTTGTGCATGTGCAAGCATACCTGCACGTGTAATGCACAAAATATTATTCTCCCTCAGCTAGAGTTATTGTAAATAATAAAATATATTGATACACACTCCATTTCAAAAACCATTTCAACAAATTTTATATTGAAAACTACAAATACAATTGCCATTTTGTTTGCACAAACAATAAAATAACAGCCAATACCTTGTAGGAAAACCATCTAAGTGTGCATTCTCAAGATTTTATATTTTACATTAAATAGGTAGTGCAACAACTCCATGCACAATTACATGAAACCAAATAAGTCTTTAGAAGACAGTGATAGTAACTGCAATGAGCCCAACGACTGACGCAGAACAGCGTGTAGTATTTTTACAAGAGCAGCTAACATTGAGAGCTTCAGTTTACAAGCTGTTAGCAAGTCAGACAGACAAACCAAAGCTAAAAGTTAACTCACCCTGCGTTCACTATAAGGTTATTTTCTTCAATCAAGTTTCCCTCAGCGCTCTCATAAAAACTAAAATACGACCAGACTTTAGAGTGACTGAAAAATCTATGCAGCGCTGTCTTCTGCCGTGTTGTCATTGACCCAAAAAAACCCACGCTGCATACTGCAAATGCGCGCCTGCTTCTGGGAGACTGTCGCTAACTTTGGTTGATGCTGGACAGTGTTTGCCGTGAGTTTATAATAGCGCAGTAACCAAACCCGGTTATCATGGTAATTAAAATGTGTACGGCAATAATAACCGTCGGGAATTTTACCATGGTTTATCGTTAAACCGGAAATTGTCTCATCTCTACACCCAGTTTCATAACTGGATCTGGGAAGGGAAGAAAAGACAGTGTCACTGTTGGTCCCTGCACAGAGTATATTGAAAGAATTACAGTCACAGTAAATTATACAATATACATTATGTTCAATACTTGGTAACCAAGGTTACAGAATCAGAAATAAGTCTAAAAACTAAAACTACATTGCTTTGATTCTTTTGTTGATTGATGATAAAGACATGTCCCTCCCTGCACTTCCTGGTTTTTGTATTTTCATACATGATAAAACAACCATTCTGCTACATAACAAACACATCTAAGTGCCTACTGCTCTCCCAATTAAACATCCTTCATCTTCACCAATTCACAGAGATGAGCCAATCACACACATTGTTTTTTAGAAATATTTTAAAGCTCAAACAAGTATTATGGGAACTGCACAAGAAGATCAACAATTTCTTCTAAAACACATTACAGTGTGCACAGCTCCTACCCCCTAAGGGCCTATTGACTTCTGACTTAAGCCACTGTGGCCTGACTTCCATGTCAAGTGGGAAACTTACCAAAGAGGAAGCAATTTTCAGAAGTCACTCTGTTGCTTTTGATTTTCTTTTTTAGCTACTAAAAGCACAGGATGCTAAATGAATATTGCAAGAGCAGAAGTCAACTGCCTGTGAGGAGGAATACAGAAGTGTAAATATTTCATCTTCCAGTCAAGGTCCCGTTGTAAAGCTATCAATTAGCCCAGCACTGCATGATGTCCAATTGCAGCAGTGTTCAAAACCCACAGTGCATCTGGGGGGATTCTCTCCCCCGTGACAAGATGAAAGGAGCTGTGATAAAGTTGGCCCAAAAATGAAATATCACTTGATGTCAGAGTTGAAATGTCTAATTATCAGGGTCTTGCGTGTCGCTAGACTCCACTTCTGATTTTAATTCCCGTCACGCTCAAACTCTCAGAGTGAAAAATTATACTGGATTTGATTTGTGTTGATTGACGTGTGTGTGTACCTAACACACCGTGTCACAACCCTTTGGTCATCTTTTTCTGTTATACGACATTTTTATTATTGTCTGTCAAAGTCCCTTCATAGTCCTTTTGGTGTTTATACACTAGGGGTGGGAATCTCTAGGCACCTCGTGATTCGTTTAGGATTCAGAAGGCTGCTATAATAAAATGATAGACCGATGCTTCAGAACGAGGAGAGGACGCTAGCCAAGTGTTTCGTGTCATTAGTTCCATCCATCCATCCTTCGTCAACTGCTTATCCTGCATACAGGGTCGCGGGGGGCTGGAGCCAATCCCTGCTTACATCGGGCAAAAGTCGGGGTACACCTTGGACAGGTCGCCAGTCCATCGCAGTAGCATCATTAGCTGCGCATTGATATTAATAATGATGTGAAATTTTATTAGCGGTGGTCATTCGGCGATGTGCCGAATACAAAGAGAGCACTGGTCTCTGTTATGTGCGTTATGTGAACGCCACAGACTGTCCAGGCCGGACTTCCAAGTTACTCCTTTTAAGTTCTGTCAACATTACGTTATCAATTAACATTTAGAAAATCATTTTTTGACATTTGTGAATCGATTCAGAATTGTCCGCTTCGCCATGCATCTAAGAATCAATTTCCCCCACCCATATTATTCACACTCGCGCACACTGTCACACACTCACACACACACTCACTCTCTCTCTCTCCTTCCACCAGTATATTTCAGAAGTGTTTTCCCACTTACACACACTCAGTTGCACATGCACACACAGAGTGTTGTCTGTTGTCGGTAACTGATCCTTCGTGGGCACTGCAGACCTCCTGACGCCAGCTCAGCTGACGCCAGCTCCGGGAGCTGTGGCAACCAGAAAGCACCATGCTGCGGGAGAGGAGCAGGCCAGGAGCAGCACTCAGGGCGAGGCCACTGACAAACAGTGCACCACTAGTGAGTATTCAGACCGTCTTTCAGACCACACACTTGCATAATTGCTCCACAACCTGAACTTAAACAGGGTGGTTGATAAGAAGGACAAAGTGATCGTGCATATGTATCTTCACACCTTTATAGGACAAGGTAAATGAGTGGTAGTGTGTCCACTGCCACGGTACGAAATACACTTCATCATGCCACATGTTGATAAAAAATAGTTTTGGTAGATACTTTATTGAACCAATTTGCTTGTGAAATGGCGAAAAATGACTATCACTGAATAATATTTTACAATTTTGCTAACCACTTGTAAAATCATGTGCAATAGCTTTTTTGCACATGACCTCATACTGATTGTGCCTGCATATTTTTATAAAAAGAAATGCAGTTACACCCCAGCTCTAACAAATGCAGAAATAAATCAAAATAAGTGCACTTTTACCTTTCTGTTTGACTCACTCACGCTCAAACTTTGATTCTCTGTTTCTCATCTTGTTTTTTAACTGTCTCTGACGCAGCAGCAAGCAGCTGTGTTGTATGACAACAGTTATACCAGATGTATGTGGTGCCACACACCTGCATGCTCACGCATACACACGCATACACATACATTTCTCCGCAGTGGGGAAGCAACACGCTGAGCAGCCTCATTAGCGAGACTGCTCTCTCCTAACCACTCAGAACATGACCATGCCACAGAGCAATTACATGCCCACCTGTGGCAAACGGCAGGTGCCTAAGGGTGAAGGGAGGGCCAGGTATGGGCAGGGGGGCAGACTAATGAGGCTGTTACCTGAATGAATCAGAGGTAAGCAGGTTTTACATGTAATCTGAAAAATGCCCTTTAGCTTCCACCTGGACAAAATAAGGAGGGTGAGATGGGCTAAAAGAGGCGCCTTCAACAATCTAGAAAAGACGGACAAAAGTGTTGAGGCAGGATAAGCGGCATAACGCATCCTCTGAGTGAAAAAATATTCACCAAACGTTGCAAATCACATGTGATGCCTTTTCTGTGTGACACAGCTTTATCTTACTTTATGGCAAATATGTGACATGAATTTATTTATTTGGTGAAGCAGTAAGAATTAATTATAATGGTCTGTTTGTTGTAGCCAAAGTTTTGATAGCTGTGTGTGTGTGTCTGTGTAGTACAACTGTCTAACACAAGGTGGTGCTTGTCCCTCATGAGAGCCTCCCTAATGGAAACCAGGGAGATGGTCTCCTCTTGAGATGAGGGCCTCTGTTGGCCACCATCAATACTGTAATACTCAGGGCATGTCTCAAGCTCACTGCAGTTTATCTTGACCCGCTAAGCCAGAAGAAAACAGTTAGGTAGTGGGGAGTTTCATATTTAGACTGAATTGCTTAGTTACCCCCAAAAATAATTCAGTCCAAGGTAAGGTAATTGAGCTTCACTGAACACGTAACATCAGACTTGATTCAGTGGTTTTTTAAAGATTAAAAGATTTTTTGCTCAAGGGTGGAGATGTACTACATAGAATCTAATGCAGTGCAGTACATCAGTCACTAACAACAGCCTACATGCCTAGAGCTCATTCAGCATCTCTGGCAGTCTGAACAAAAACTGAACATGGCTCTTGAACTCATTTCAAAAGCCAAAAGTTCACAAATGTATGCTTTATCATTTTATCACATGATATTGTGCAGGTGTACTTAATAAACTTACATCGGGTTTCTTTTTTAGGGCATATGTATTAGGGCCCCAGCTAACATTTAAAGTAAAACAAGAGTATAAATTAATGTTAATCAACTAATTGATTTGTTATGTAATCCAGACAGACCTCTCCTTTTTTTTTTTTTTTTTTTTTTTTTAAGGGTGACAGCCAACAGTGGACCTGCTATATGCTACTTTTAGCTGCAGTCTTTATCTACAAAGCCAAATGTCACAGATGCGGACCACCAGTTTAGAAGCTCTTGGGAGAGTCGTTATCAGCCTCCACCAGAGGCTTAATTAATTAAGCCAACTCGGTTGATTAATTTGTGACTTCAGCAGCCAGTTCTCACCTGGAGCACCCCAGCAAGGCAGCTATTAGGCTAATTGATCACAGAGTCAGTCATGTCTGGAAATATGACACAGCCGCATAATGAAAGCGTAGTAGCATTGTAGCATCTGGTGGAGGAGATGCCAATATCTGCGCCAATATTGAAGAAATAATCTGTTCAGGAAATGGCACCCACTCCAGCCAAGTCATTTTGGGGTTGTTGGCTTTCCCTTCCTCTTCTGTGGAAGGTCGGGACACATGAAGGTTAAAGTTATCCCAGATCATTACCTGCAGGGGGAAGCCTATCTGGAGCTGTTTTGGTATCTGCAGTTCTATAGGGCTTTTATCTGGGCCACCTCTCTGTGTCTCCATCTATCCCTCTTTTCTGTTTGCCTAGAGCCGAGAATTGCCTGTGACATTCAGATATAAGAGAGAGTGGTGGCAGGGATGAAGTGCACTATTTCCAACCATGGAGAAAGTTACGTGAAAGGCTTTTTGAAAGCTAAGGATATTTCTGAATCAGGTGTTAAAAGCAGTGGTCGTGAATAAGCGCGGATGTTGAGATCTAGATGGCTGGGGCAGGTGCTGCCGCAGCCGGGTCAATCAGGGGTAGGAAGATGGGAGACTTTGCTGTTGTTAATGCGCAAGGAAGAAGGATGTGGTTTCCATTAGCCTGCATGGAAAGCTCTGTCATGGTTTCTCAGCTCCCTCGCCCTGTCACAGGCCTTCTTTCTATTCCCCTCCCCCTCTCTTGCCACTCCTCCCAGCAGGAGCTAAAAACCCAAGGCCCATTACCTGGGCCACAGCCCTGGGTTCATTTGTAGTGCATGACCACAAGGATCTGGTTCATATGGAGTGCCTTCCTTTCATTCATAATTTAGTCCTCTCATTCATTCATGACTGTTTTTTGCAAGCTAAATCAGCTGTTTTTTGCTGTGACAGTTGGAAGGCATATGCTATCAATTGCCAACTACATATTAATGTCTGATACGCTGGTTATTCTCTTGCTTTTCTTAAATGTCATACTCCTACTTAAGTGGTGTGCCACTTTTCCAGTTAGGCAAAAACCTTTCTCAGTCTGTTTTTTTTTGGCATGGTTCACCAGTGTTTTTCCACTGCAAGTTGACAAGCTTGTCCTTATTCAACTGTTGAACTGTTTGCGGAAGAAAAGAATAATGATGCGGGCGCTGCATAATGTGTCCTCTGCGTCACTCAACAGCATGCCCAAGGCAACAGCTCCCAGGCTGCATTCATGTAGATGGAACGCTGTGTTTTGCCTCTCCCCTGCCTTGTATCTCACATCACCTCAAGCAGACAGTGTCAATCCATCACAAGACCTTGATAGGATATTTAAAGTCATAATAAACACCTCTGCTTCCTTTTACCTCAGTCTGAAGTAGTTTCTGTGTAAGAGGATGGCCTGGGTTTTTGGTCAGGACAGAAGTACAACAGGCATGCAGGCAGCCTGTGACGTGCTGTCATGGTTACAGTGCATGAAGAAATAATGTAGGTTTAAAGGTTTTCCTTTTAACAAACACAAAGCACTGTTGAAGAAAATTCTAGTAACTTGATTTTCTCATCTGTGCCTTTTCTGTTTACAATGACGTAGGACCCGCTACACTTACGGAAGGGAGAAGTTTAACCTTGAAGCAAATGTTTTTTGAAAGCTAACTGATGTCCATAATATCTGTCAAGTATTTGGTTTACCAGCAGCACCTACACATACAAACCTATTAATTGCCACTGTCGCTTTTCTAAAGTTCTGCTCTGTGTGCTACATTTGACACGATATTTCAATGAATTGAGAGTTGATTTACATGTGAAGTGTTTAGCTAACGCCATCTAAGTTCAGACAAGGTTAAAGAGACTTTTTTTTTAGTTTTCTACTATTCTTGCCTGTGGTTCTCTCACATTTTCTTTTCCATCCCTTCATTAAAATGTTCCCACTTGCTTTCTTTCTTGATATCATTTGTTTTGTTCCAAATTTGAAAGTTTGAGAAGAAAATGAAGATCTAGGCTGGATCAACTAAAGGACAGAATTTGTTTGGCAAATGCTAAACAGGGTTGTCTTCAGTTTACATTACATGTACCCTAAACCGTTCTGAACGGCATCTAGTACATACTACAGGTGATGAATTGTATCTGGTTCTGCGGATGCAATATTTCTTCAGCTTCCCAGGGGATACAGTTAGAACATAGTAGTGGTCAACAGCAGAAAACAAAGCATCTTGCCTGAAACTGAAATGCTGAAGTTATTATTAGTTAATAGAACTGGACATTGATTCTCCCAACGCTAGTCTCAGCTACCAGAGGAAAACAATCTTGAGCTGCACACTCTGACACCCTGCAACGCTCACTAATAAAATCCATGCAAAGCCCTTAGTGAATAAGCGCTGAGTTTAAGCTGCCATTTTGTGGGCACAGATGCCTCTTGGATCATTGTGGCACCAAGCGTGAAATGAATGTAAAATCATCCATGATGCCTCTTGCTTCCATTTATTGTTTTAGGGTGCAGATGAGCTGATGACATGGTAGTGTCTCTGAAGATTCATTCTGTGTCTGTGGGTCTTTTCATTCCCAGCACATCACTGTGTATAGCTTAGTGTACACAATTGACAAGTTTGGGTGGTGATCCTCTTCACAGGATTGTAATGTTTATTACTGTGCAACACATATAACCATATATATTATTGTAAATAGCTTACGTTTCTGCCTGAAACAAATGAGCCCGGAGAGTTGCACTGGAATGATTGAGCATTGCTGCTCATTGCCTCTGTGCATGCCCAATGACTGCAAGCTGTGCTGCCTAAGGATGATAGAACGGTGATGGGAAGGGAGAGTAGAGTGAGTGAGTGAACGAGTGAGGGAGGGAGGCTTTTGAATGCTAGACAAAAAGAGTTATAATGCTGACAATGCCCAATTACGATACATGGTTATTGCTTTTTCAGAAGCTAGGTTTAGTGTTAGTGATACAGACGATGCCTGGATTAGGGCAAGGGTGAGCATGTAAAA